TCAGCTTGGAAAGGGCTGTCACACGTGCTGGGGGACTCCTCACTGCCTGGAGAGCAGCCAGACCCCACCAAGCCATCTGAAACGCATCAACATCTCCAAAAGGAGGTGCAACCCCCCCTTTTTTTTTTTCTTTTTACCCCCAGTTCTTTTTTCCTGGCCACGCTCTGGCAGAGCCTGAGGAGGTGGTGCTGCTCAGTTTGCTCCAGCCCAGGTGCCAGGGCCACCAGCTCCCTCAGGTGCAGGTTGATGGGCTGGGGCTGCTCCTCGTACAGCGCGGGCAGGACACGCAGCAGCATCGAGTTCCCTGGGGACAGAGGGGGGAAAAAAAAAAGACCCAAGAAGACAAATAAATAACCTGAAGAGAAAGAATCGTGGCAGGTAGAACAAGGAGCGTGTTCAAAATAAATAAAATCCTGCTCATTATCATTTTCATTCTCAAGTACAAACCATGATGTGCAGGGCACTCTGAGTCCTGGGCCAAACTGAGGGGGATTTAAATTAACACACAAACATACACGACCACTCCCACCCCCCAAAAACAAAAAAAAAGGCTAGAAAGCACATAAAAGCCACTTCTCCTTTGTTGAGATTCAGACTTTCAAATGAAATAAGCAGCATCTGGAAAGAATAGCTGGTTATTAAGAGAACTAAATATGCATGACAGTAAATTTGAACATAAATAGTTAAGGATGCCATTTCTGGGAATAGAAAGGAGCCAGAGAGAGTCAACTGCAGACAGACAAAGATGTGCAAAACCCTCTCTCACACATTTTCTGAAGATGTCTGTGCATAATTCAGTTTGAAGCCCAGGCTCACAGCAAAATATATAACTTCACATCACTGTACATGCCTGCCTCCATAGACTTAAGTTTCACTTGAATAACATATGGAAAACATCTGCCTGTTGCCATGTAGTACAGTTCCTTTTTGTAAACCCCTGAAAGTCCTTACAGTCTCTTTGGATTTGGTTTCCAATAGGATCTAGCCCTCTGGCCTGCTGCTTTTTGTCCCATCTAAATCTGAGCCTTCTAATTTTGGAAGATAAGCAGGTCACTCCATGATAGCAGAAAAAAGGATAAATGGATCAGACTGGCCCACATTGTGCTCTTGACAGAGACAGAAAACACATCCCAAGACACTGTTAGGTCTTGCAGCCTCTCCTCTGAGCCAAGTAACTAACGTATAATTCATTGTAGGTTCAGACAACTTTTAGCTGAACAGCTTGTAATGATCCCCAAGGGTTCCTTGTACTTGGGAGGGAGGAGTTTCTCCACCCCACTCAGCCAGGCTCCTGCACCCCATCCTGAAGCATTCATGCTGCTTGAGGAATCATTGGCTTCTCCTTGAAGGCATCATTGGCTTCTCCTCGAAGGAATCATTGGCTTCTCCTTGAAGGCATCATTGGCTTCTCCTTGAAGGAATCATTGGCTTCTCCTTGAAGGAATCATTGGCTTCTCCTCGAAGGAATCATTGGCTTCTCCTTGAAGGAATCATTGGCTTCTCCTTGAAGGCATCATTGGCTTCTCCTCGAAGGCAGCTCAGTCTCCCAGCCAGCTGCTGCTGTGATACAGGGAAGGTTCAGACCCCACCTCTGGTCCCACAGACACAGGGAATTTCAGTCTTGTTCTCTTCTACCAAGGAAGCACAAAGGCCAGTTGCAAAGGAGAGAGATTTGCTGATGAATGACCCTGAACAGATCAGCAAGCTGCTCAGCTCTGCCCATCCTCTCTGCCCGTGTTCCTTGTGCAAACCTCTTCCTGGAGTCACAGGTGAACCTGCATTAGAAGTGTCACCACTTTCCCAGTGTCACCCACGGGCCGTGGGACTCAGCAAAGCACCAACTCACCCAAAGTTAGAGCTCAAATGGTGAGAGGGGGTGTTTATTTGGACCTCTCTACACTCACCTCTGAGTTTGAAACTGAAAGTTTTGTAACCAAACACACTAAACATTGTTTGCTTTGAATAATTCAGTGCTTACAGAAACAGGTCCTTCCTTTGTCCTTCATTTAACTTCCACTGAGGGTTTCCTGCCCAAATGGAGCAGAGCCCTAAAGCCCCAGCCACATTTCAGCATCACCAACACCTGTACCAGACAAAACTGCCACGTTCCTGGACAGGCAAATTCACTGGCTGTGCAAGTGTAGAAGGAAGAGGCTCAGGGGAGACAAACGAAAACTATCAGCTTTAAATGAAGAAAAACAGCCACCAACCTGAGCTGTGCCAGTGCCTAAGCTGGGAGAGCAGAGAGAGAAAGGCAGACTGATTATTCCATGTGAGAAAAGAACCATTTTAAGTATTGGCCACACTGGAGGAGGGATGGAATTCCACATGACACAACATGATGGATTGCAGCCATGGAACTTCTCTGAAAAAAAAAAACTACTTGCACAAACACAGATTGGGGCAGTTTCCTACAGCAGCCACTGCTGGGTTTAGATTCACTAAGCAAGACAGAGGGAAAGCAAAGGCAGTTTAGAAGCAACCCCATATCTTTGGAGTGGTAGCTAAAGGACCTCACTGACATGGAATTGCTTTTAATTGGATAACCTGCCTACACAAACTTGTAAGCCACCCAAGTAGATACCAAAGCTTGTCTGATCTTCATGTAACTTAAGAAAGGTTAAAGTAATTTAAGCATAAGCCAGTTCACTTGGATTTGCTTGTACAACTTTCCTATGTTTTCGTGTCTCACATGAGCTCTGAGCACCTCTTGCCATTTACTTGTCACACCTTGCCAGTTTCTAAGGGACCTGCACCTCACCAACCTGTTCCTTCTCAGAGCCTGGGCAGCCAGAGATATGGTTCCCATCCCCAAGTAAATTCCCTTCTTTCCACATTGCTTCATCTGTCTCAGCCTAAACTGAGCCTGAAAAGTCCATTTGTGGCCCAAGGATGAAAAGATACTACACTCAGCTCCTTCATTACCTTCTTTCTCTCTTGCTTCCCCTACCACCTTTACCCCAAACACCTTCCAGATTGGATGTTCCCTGACTTTCCCAGCAGACCCCAGAGTGGGAATGGTGCAATTCAGGCAGAGACTCAGGTACAGCTGGGGGACCCTTGGTGGCTCTGCACTGCTGGCTGCAGGTCCAGCAGGGGGGAGGCACACAAAGCCCTTTGACCACACTCCAAAACCCAACAAACCACCTCAAACCAGCCTGGTAGCACAGTGCAAACACAGCAGGAGTTCAGACTGTACTGTGGTGCTTTGACACTCATTCCACATTGAGCATTCAAAGGCAGAAGCCCAAACACCAAGTCTAACCCCCCCAAAAATATTCATCTCGACCAAACTTTCAAGGTTTCCAGCATTTTGCTGCAATGTTACTGTTTATGTTGGTGTGGGCAGGAGAGCAGCTGGAGGCTCCACAGGGGCAGGAGCCCCACACATGGGGAAATAGAACCCCATAAATGCAGGAGTAGCAGCCCAGCAGCCCGGGTTTGCAGGAGCAGGGCTGGGAACTGGGAGGCATTTAGTGCAGCAGCACAGAGGGAAATGGAAGAGGAACACAGACTGCAGGTTAGGCACGATCAGATGAGCCTGTTTCTGCCGTTCCCGGGATGTTTCCCAGCCAGTGCATCACCCACCCCACGTTACCCCTCACCCAAGCAACGCATCCCTGCAATCACTAACGACCCATTGAACTGACGAGCTCTGCAGGACTCAAACCAGATGAGCAGCAGCACCTCGCCCTGGGTCTCACCCAAGGGCGCCTTGTTTTGCTTTATTTGCAGGTTTACAGAGACCCAGCGATGCAAATCCACGGGCTCCCGAGACCAGTCCCCGGCCGGGGGGGGGGCACTGGGCGGACTGGGGAGGCAGAAGCCCCCAAGCTGCCCTGGGGAGCCCCTGCTCTGCTGCTGGGAGCAGCCAAGTGCGACTGGAATAGACGCTTCTCTACAGAGCATCAAAAATAAAGGGGGAAAACTACAATATTTAGGTTAAACCAACCGCGCAGCCCAAGTGACTCCAGGGATGTTTGTCCCCCCCGGGATCCCTCGTGGAACCCGGCACGTCCCAACCCCAGGGAGGACTTTGGGGAAGCGCTTTCCCTTTTACCCCCCCCC